AAGTTCCTTTGATGTCACATGCAAATTGAAAGACCTAAAATTTTCTGGATTCACGATGTGACCACTCCTTTTCATGGCTGTTATAAACCAGGTTTCTATATTAACCCTTGCAATCGCTGAATATTTTCCTGTTATCCCGATTACYGTCTGGTTTCCATTTGATTGCCACTATCACTCGAATCACCATGATCATTCAAAAAGTCAAAGAAAGACTAAATATTTGATATCAATGTTAAATATTGATGGTGTGAACTGTATTTAAGAAATATAAAGCACCGCACGTGTCTCTGTCCTCTGATATAAACACGGTGGGAGTTTGAAAAACATAAGAGAAGCAAGCTTAGGAACACGAGCGTAGCAAGTGTTTCTCTTGCTTCTCGAGTGTTTTCAACTCCCACTGTGTAAATTTATATCAGAGGACAGAGACACAAGCAGCCGTTTTATATTTCTTTTATAAAATTTTTCGAGCAAAAAGCAAATTTTGCCGGTAAGCTGTGTCTCTGTCCTCTAATTTAAACACGGCCGTCAGCCAATCAAAGTGTGTGTTATATATCGAAAATTTTATAAATTAGGATATATATTCTGATCTTTGGAGAGTGTTTCCATAATCACTAGCCAGGGGCCTGCAATCCAGTGATCGAGGTCGCTAAATATCACAAGATTAGCATGGGGGGAAATTTGCATGAGCATGCGCTAAAACTGCTGATACACGCCTGTAAATTGCAGACGCAGTTATGATTTTTTTGTGATTTTGGCATTTTTTTTATTGTTTTATTTTTATAATTGAAATTGGAGTTCAGAAAAGTCACATATTAAAATACAAAATTCTAAAATTGTTCACTGAATCCTTGGACCATTCACAGTGAACTTCCTCATCTTAAGGAACACCTGCAGACAATTTCATCCCCCCTCCCTTTACCCCCTAAATGCAATGTTGTCATGGAGCATATGTTACCATAGTACAGAACCGGACCCAAAACAAGACCCAATATTGATTAAAGGTGGCTAATAGGGGGAAGAACTGTGATAAAATAAAGGAGAAAAATGTAATAGGCTGGATCATATTAATTCCTTGGTCCAAGGTTCTTTTTGGCAACAATGATTGTACATTTAAATGATAATAGCTGTGACAAAATGCAGAAAGTGAGAAATTAAAAAAATCTTATCTGCCTCTTACAGGCCCAAAGTAAAGCAGACGAACTTGACAAGGTGTCTGGTACAATGTTGTATTTACTGGCATCCAGCAGCTTAAAGGATCAAAGCAGACTTAACTTCATAGTGGACTACATTGCCAACAAAAAACTCTCTTCAACTCAGCAACTTAATGGTACAAGATTTCATGTTAATTGTGTTGAAAACCTTCTCTAATTAATAATTTTATTAAAATATTTTGTTTTCTGTGTTTGATACTGTGAATAAAACATGCATAATGTGTTCTGAGAAACAGAAGCCACAACATGTCGTAAGCAGAGTTTGGACTGGTCACTTAGCAAAATGACAATTAATCTTTTTTGTGTTGTCGTTTTACCAGCTGGTATTGATTTCCTGGCAAAGAAAAACCCAGTAGGTTCCATCAAACAAGCAGAGTTTGAACAGACTTGTGGGATTGGCGTAGAAATCACTCCTGAACAAATTGAAGAATGTGTAAGATGAAAAATAGCTAATTATTGTACAATTCTTTTAAAATAATGCTCTTATTATCCCTTTGATGTTGGCCTAAACTGCCAGATTGCAACTGATTGTGAATGGATATTTTCCATATTTTGTAATAAACCATGGCCCTTCTTTATTCAATCATTAAAACATTGCTTCATTTATTCATTTGGTCTTTGCTAAATTTAGATTGAGAAAATCATCGATGAGTTCAAGGATCAACTCAAAGAAAAGCGATATCAGTTCAACACTGGACTTATTATTGGTAAAACTTTGTTCAAAATATCTAAGACACATAATTCAACAATTCAAGATGCTCTGCAAAGTCCAGTCTTCCTTGAGTCAGAGTTTTAATTTTTTATATACACCTAATTACAAAAACGTTKTCCTGAGATTTAAGGGTTTAGGAAATTAAGAATACATTAAAAGACAAAGTATGACCACTGAAGCCAAACACTTTCTTTTGTTTTTTAATTAATTCCTAAATAGTAAAAGTTCTTTTTTCTTGGACAACGTTTGTGTAATTAGGTGTATATTTGTTTTATAAATTTGGCATTCCAGAATATAGTCATGTGCTTATAAGGTATCAAATACTGTATCAGCAATTGTACTTATTGCATTAGGTAAAGCCAGAGAAAAGTTGAAATGGGCAGATGGAAAAGCTTTAAAATCAGAAATGGATATGCAGGTACTATATGATAAATTTAATAAACCATGTGCACAATATGATTTCTATTGCCACAGGAAGCCCATTTTAGCAATCTTTCAGCATCTACATACAGCTTCTAATTACAAACTATTTCAAATCAATGCAGACAGGAAAGTTAAACTCCATTTAAATCTTGTTCGTGCCTTTGATAATTCACAATTTAAATAGATTTTGGATCTTCTTGGACCTAAGACAGAGGCAGATAAAGTGAAACCATCAAAAGAAAAGGTGAA